CCTGGAACTTTCCTCTCTGGAGCGGGTCACCACAACACCTCCTGTGACCTCTGCCCTCCTGGGTTCTTCAACCCCTGGCCTGGCCAGGACGCTTGTTTCCCCTGTGGCTCAGAGGCCAGCCAGCCGGAGAAGGGCAAGGACACCTGTATCTGCCATGGACCGGGGCGAGTATTCCAGGTATCTCCTCTGGCAGTGGCACCCCAAAGGGCAGGGTGCATTTCCGGGACTTTTTTGAATCCAAGTCAAATTCAGCTCAGCTGTAACTTGATCAGGGTTGACTCTGGGGCCCAAGTTACTAGGGTAAGGCTTTCTTTTAAATTTGAATTTCAGATACATCATGGGTATTCTTTTCTAGTACTGTATGAAACATACATGAAATTCAAATGAATTTCATATGAAATTCAAACTTAGTTGGTTATCCCATATTTTTTATTTGCTAAAGCTAGCTGCCCTCTTCAGAAAAAAGGGCAAAGTTTATGTTACTCCATGACCACTCCTACAACACACCCTGCTAATTTGAACTTACCCAGTAAGCTGACAATTGTGCATGTGAATCCTTCCTTCATCTTTTGGACTGAAATAATGTCACTTGCTGGACCCTTACCAACACTTGCCAGTGCTGCTCCCCTATACATGAACTCTCTCCAGCCCTCCTACTGTTCACAGGGCCTCCCCCGCCCTTCTTGCCTGGGCCATCTCAGGCAAGATCACAGCCACAGGGTTGTGTGTGATTCAGTCCCACCAAGTACCAACCAGCCAACCACAGCATTCTTCTCACAGCCCAGTGACAGTCGGTGCCCCTGCCTCCCGGGCTACCAAGACATTGGCAAGCCCATGGGCTGTGTCCAGCGGGATCATGAAATCTGCAAAGATGGAGCCACTTGGAACCAGGAGGGGCTATGTTTAACCAAAGATCAATGGGGCGACCACTGTTCTCGTGAGGTAGGTGGCTGCCCATAGGTCTCACCCTTGCCTTCTACCCTTCCAGTCAAAAGCCCAACTTCCCCATTACTGGGTTTGCTCCATTGAGCCCTTGCTAGAAATATGAAAGCCTATCCTCATTCTGAAGTAAATCCTAGAAACTAAAGATAATTACAGGGATCCTCCCTCTGAGAGGTATCCCCACAAAGTTTGAATCTTTATGCAGGTGTGTGCTATACCGGGAGATGCCCGCGGCTATGACCTACGCCTAGGGCTCTGCCTGTGCTGGGGACAATATGCAAGTGATGTGTGTGGACCTCTGTGCCCAAAAGAACAGAAACATGTCCTGCGAATCAGCTGCCCTGATGGCACCCCACAGATTTCCATCGCTGAAGGCACTGGGATCCAGGTACAGTGCCCTGAGGTCCAGACCCATGGCCTGTGGCTTCTGCCTCCCTACTCAGAACACACAGAGTGTGCTTAGGTATGGGGCCCAGGAGCCACTGCTTATGGCCTACATCACTGTCACTTCCTCTCCTGTGTATGAGGCTCCAGAGCCAGGGAAAAGAACTCCTTGTCAACTTTGGTTCATTTTGTAAAATTCTATAAAACTGAGGTAGAGGTCACTGTGTTTATTAAAGAGAAGGATGCTGTTTAAGAGATCATACTTCAGGCAGCTTCTGCCCCGTGGAATTCTCCGAACTGTTCACACTGCCACCTCCCCTCTATCCCTGTCAGACAGGGCTCAGGAAGGAGCCCCTGTGTTCTTCCTACCTCCTTCCCACTTGACAGAAACTGTGTCACTCTTAGTGGCTTAAGAAGTGACAAGACGCTGCCCACCCACCTCCATTTCTAGGTTCTTTACCTCCTGGACAGGCCTTCTTCACCACGTGCTGTGGGCCATCCCTGCAACTTGGACCAAGGACAGAAGTCTGTCCCTCTGTATGTGGTCAAGGTAGATGGTAAGGGAGCTGGATAGAAGGAGGCCTTAGCTCAGGACCACTCTTAGGCAAGCCTTTTCCTTTCCTTGGCACAAACTTTGCCCTTGAGCAAAAGCGGGGGGAGGGTGCAGTACCTCCCCCAGGGAGGCCTGCTTGAGAACTGCCTGTGAATTCTGACCCTTCACTTTTTATAGAGCTGAATCCTGCCAAGAGAAAATTAAAGCTGGACATCTCCAGGCTGTGTCTATGTTTTAGGGAAAACTCTCACGCTACTCCCTGTAGGGACAAGGAGATTCCTGTCTTGTTCTAGAACTCGGCTTCATGGGGCTCACCAGACCAGGACATGAGCTTCTTCAGTCTTTGAACTTGCCCCTCACCACCATCGGGCATCCAGACAAGGGTCCAGGTGAATATCGCAGCCTCCCTGTTTGTCCTTCTTCCTCCTCCTTCACGCTCCCCAAGACCCAACTAAAAGCTGTCTGAAGACAGCTGCTCTCCTTCGTGCTTCGAATCTTCTCTAGGAAAGCTGAAGGAAGGACACCTGGCCTCCCATTGGTCCCTGGACCTCAACTCCACACACCCTGAGGATCTGCCACCTCCAGAGGCAGGCATCCGAAACCCCACCGTCTGCCTCCAAACCAATGATACACTGGCCTTCATGGTGACTCGCGAACATTACCCTGAATATGATGTGTGAGTGTCCACAGCCACAGCCCACCACCTCAGGGGCTCCTGCATCTTCCACTACCTCTAATGTGCAGCATATTCCCTGCTCTCTACCCCCAGAGGCCACTTCTACAACACACTAGAGCAGTTTGACTGGGGGCGCTTTCGGGCGCTGGCTGAGGAGTCTCCACTGTCCCAACAAGGCCCTCGCCTCTTTCTGCAGCAGTTCCAGATGCCTGGAGTCTATATTTTCCATCTGAGCAGCAACCGGCATCGGAAAATGGTTTGTCTCTGATAGTCTGCCTCATTTGAGACCTTGTCCTAGTTCTTCCTCTTTAAAAAAAAAAAAAAATGCATCACAACCACCTCAGTTCTCCAGGAAAATACACGCCCTAGATGCTTCCACCTAAGTTTCAGGGTGCAATGCTCCTAATAGATGATTCTAGGGACATCAAGCTTCCCTCCATAGCAGCCCAACAAGTGATGTGCAAAGAGGCCAGTGAGGACAGACACTCAAGCGTGCAATGAAGGATGTCAGTGGTAACGAAGGGCATAGGACCCCTGGGTCTCTCAAGCCCTCCACTTTGTCTTCCCCTCCCCACCCCTCTTCCATCCTCAAGGCACATATCCCAAGACCACCTACATAATCATTTATCTCTGTGACCTATACATTATATTCCACTGATCCAGGTGCCGTGTCTGTGTCACACAAGGGACCTAATATCTTGGTCTACAACCTGTCATCTAAGATGCTGTGCTGACCTAGCCCTGGAATACACAGTCAGTTCTCCCTATAAATTGTCATAAAGCGTACATTCCCCACACACACACAGCCCAGGTCTACACAACAATCTAGTCCGGTTAGTGTTGACGGCCCTGGGTTGCCCCTCTGTCCCCTGACCTGTCTCTAACAGATAGTGAGACAAAGACTGAACAGAATTCTTTCCACCCAGTACCTCCGCACTCTTCCACCGGGAGGCCAATGCTTTGGGGATGGGCCCTTTGCCTCCACAACACCCAGGTATCTCATCCAGACTGGCATTGCCAAGTTTCCCAGCCCCCTGAAGAGGTCTGCCTGGCCAGAAGTCCTGGGGGAAATTGTGCTGCTCCTGGGACTTTGCCTGCTTTTGTTGGTGAGTCAAGTAACACTGTCATTACAACACAAGACAACCTTTCTAGTTCCCTCCCTGTAAGTGAGACTTTTCATCTCTGAATGCAGTAGGCACTGTAATAGCTGCTGAGATGCAGACAGGAGGAAGGTGCTGGCTTAGAAGTTTAGTAGGGAGAATGCATATCAGGAAGGAAACATCAGCAAGTACAGTGGCACTACAGTGAGGGTACACCCAAGGGGCCCAGGCTGCACAAAGGCCAATGGATCCTTCTCTGGGGCTGTTAAGATAGAATTTCAAGAAGAGCCGGTCCCTGAATGAAGCCTGAAATTGGATATATAAGAACACGGTTCTTGTACTAACATGAAGTTTGGTGAGTTGGAAGGAGAGTTAGGGATAGAAAACAAGGGTACAGTTGGACTCCAAATCCATGAGTTTCTCATCCATGAATTTAGTCAATCACAGGTGAAAAACATTAGGAAAAATACATTTGTCTGAACATGTATAGAATTTCTTTTTTTTTTTTTTGCCCTTCTGCTTGCCAGGGAAGTGCTTATTCCACTAAGCCATCTCCCCAGCCCCCATGTATAGAATCTCTATCTTGCCAGTATTCTTTATATAACATGGGAAAACAACTGTTTATATAATGTTTTCATGGAATTAGGTAGTATAAGTAATCTAGAGGTGCTTTAAGAATACTGCAATATGAGCATCCGTTATATACAAATAATACGTCCAAATTACCTAAGGAACTCAAGCTTCCATAGCATTTGGGATCCACAGAGTCCTGGAACCAGTCCCTGTTAATCCTCAGAGGTGACTGTTTTATGGCGAAGTCACAGAAGCATGGGACACCAGGCACCTGCTCAGGGAATCAAACCTGATACTCCATGCCTGAAGCTTCAGGTGTGCAGACAAGGATAAGGTTTAATCAGTTTGTCCCTCTACCCTAAATCGTGGACAGTCTCATAGGCTTTGCTGAGAAGTGTGGACTTTACACTCTAGACAGTGAGTAAGACTTCTGAGCAACTAAAGGCACCTAGGGAGATCTGTATTTGCACTGGAGCAACAGGGTGAAGAATAGAGATGGCTTGGAAAGGTGAAGCCACAGAGAGCAAGGCCTTTCCAAAGGCCCAAGCACAGAGAACAAGGCACTCTGTAGCCACAGATGAGAACAGGCCCCCAAAGTCCTCTGAAGGGTACTCTCCCTCAGCTCCATGTCCTTCCTGTGACCCCATTGTGTACCCTGTAGCTTCAGTGTCACAGCCTCAGCTGGGCTCGGAAGGCCGCCCCTCATCCCACCTACAGGGACCACCAGCAAGGGTACAACCTTGATGCATACGCAGCCCCCAGAACTGGGGTGATGTCAGTGAGGAGAGGCCAAGCGCTACAAGATCCTGCTGTTCTCAGAGATGAGGGAGGTCATGGTGAGTAATGAGCTGGGCCAGCAACCCACAGGTGCCCCCCAAATCTAGCTGGCCAGTTCCTGCTTCATTTCTCATCTTCCTGAACTATTCATTATTCAGTTTCTCTTTATTCATTCACTTGTGTGTTCAATACACATTTATTAAGTGCCTACTATATGTAGATGCTATCAGGCACTAAGAATACACAATGAAGGAGGGGAAGGAAATGTCTAAACACAGAGTCTCCAAGTGAAAATAGCAAAGCCAGAGCTGGGGAGATAGCTCAGTAGAATAAGCACTTGCCTGTCAAGAACAAGGGCCTGAGTTCAATCCCTGGCTCTGGAAAAAAAAAAAAATGGAAGAAGAGGAGGAAGAGGAACGTAAAGAGTAGGAAGAAGAAGAAAGCAAAGCCATGTACAAAGTGTCCAAGTTAGAAACTTGCTACCATTTAGAGGAATAAGTTATTGTACAAGGTAGAGTTATGTCATACTGGGGCTTTTGCAGCCCACCCTTGCTTCTCAAAGTATGGTTCTCAGAGAGCAGCACCACAGTTAGCTTGTTTTTCTAGAATTTTAATTGTGTTTGAATTTCCTGGGGGATTTAGACGTGGTCTGAGACTTCCCTGCGCTATGGCCTGCGACTCTGCATTTCTAACAAGTTTCTGAACAGTGCAAATGCCACTGCTCCAAGGGCCATGCCATTAATAGTTAGACTGAGTGCAAATTACTAGGGATCTAAGGAGCTGTGTATTCAGGGAGGATAATCCTGTTTCCACACCCCCACAGGTGGGGACTGGGAGGCTGAGAAGCAGGTCGACCTGGAGTGGTTTGACACAGAAGCCTTCTTTGAGATCCTGCTCCAGCAGTCTCTGACAGTGACAACCCAACTCAGCCAGAACAAGGAGGAGGTAACTGGCAAGCCCTGCTTCCAGCCAAGGCTGAGGAAATAAGCAGGGCTAGACATGGGATTCTTCTCTGGAAGAGGTGGTTATGGGACATAGAGCCTAAAGAAAACTTTGGCCAATAAGGAATTTCCCAAAAGGGAAGGTCTATGGGCAAGAATACAGGAGATTTCTGGTTAAATTGAGAACTGATCTTAGGAGACGTAGGGCCTCAGCTTAATGGTAGCCAATCTACTAAGGCTACCTCTGGAGTTTCCTCGACTTTTGTCCCTGGTGCTTGGTAGCCCACCTGCGTGAGCACATTCATGCCAGTATGTGACAGGCACTGGAAACAAAGACAATACACTAGAAGTTCAAGCATCAGAACTGGGCCAGGGGCTCCCTTGGGAGGTCTTCGCTGGTCTCAGACAGTCCTTTTCCACTCCTTCCAAAGCTCTCTGGGCTCTCCCCAGCTATCAGCAGTAGGGGGCACTGCAATCCCAGGAGTAAAAGGCTAGAGGGCTCCAATACAGACATCTCAAGCTAAATCCACCTCCTTCGTAGCTCAAACTCTTCTACCTCAAACTTCTGGGTGAGGCCCGGTCCCTGAGGCAGCTGTGGGGCACGCAACATGGACCCACAGCCTCCACTACCCAGCACCTGGGGCGCTTGCAGAAGGGACAGCAAGAGGTTGGCTTTGCTCTCAAATCCTCCCATCTGGTACTGTGCTCAGAGCTCAGAGCAGCTCCCTTCCTTAGCACTGCCCCCCAGCACACCTCTGTTCCACCTCTCCGGGCCCAGGGCTTAAGGACAGCCTCCCCACCATTCCTGGGAATTCTTCTCCCACTTGCTGCGCTACTCTCCTCCAGAATACTCAGGCCTTCCCAGGGAAAGTTGGGTGCCTTGTCCCAGGGGCTACTGTCCCAGGTGGCTACAGCCACTTCAGGTGAAAAGCTGGGGTTGCCTCTGGCCCAGGTTGCTGAGGCCGCTTCTAGGGCAGCAGAGGAAGAGGCCAGGCGGAGGGCCCAGCTGGCAGCTGAGTACACAGCAAGCCTTAGCCATCAGCTGCAGGTCCTTCACCAAGACCTCCAGGCCAGGCAGGAGCAGTGGGCCACCTTCAGCTCAGCACTGACAGAGGCCAAGCGGCTGCTGAAGGCACAGATGGGCTCCAGGCCACGAATGTCCTCCTCAGATGGGCAGAGCCATCAAGGGTGTGTACCCGCTTACCTGGGTTGGGACAAGAAAGATATGAACCAGGGCAAGTGTACACGGGTGGTGGCAGGGAAGGTCCCCCGAACTGGCCACACAAGAGTGCTCTTTCCCCTCCTCACTATCCCTGAGTCCTGATGGACCCCACCCCATGCCCCTGCAGTGTGGTTCCCCAGATGGATGCCGTGCTGGACCACCTGGCCCAGACCTTGCTGCAGGAGGGCCACCGCCTAAAAGCCTGGGGTTTTCTGGGCACTGGCACTGGGGCAGAGCTGCTGAGGCCAGGTGAGCCCTACTCAGCCACAGCCAGCATCCCTGGAAACCTCGCTGTGGCCCCAGGTGACAAGCCCTGTAAAGCTCAAGTTCTTCCCCAAGTTCTATATGTATGCACAAAGTGGAGCTGGCCCTGCCCTAAGAAAATGAACTTCAGAAATGAGAAGAAATAAATTATAGCTTTGCAGCCAAGGTAGCATTTCCTGGAGGTAAACACTGGGCTAATAAATGCTGATGGCTACGTTTGAGAAATGTTGGACTCAGCTGCCAAATGTCCCCAGAGGACTGGTAAGGATGCTGAGTTCTGGGAATCCCTAGACCTCTCTAACTGCCCTGAAGGCTGTGCCATCTCCCAAGGACCTTCTGGTCTCTACCAGGCCGCAGATTGAAGACACTACATAGTATGTCCTAAATGGGGAATCCTACCCTGAACTCAGCAAAAGACAAGAACCCTGCCCTGGGGAGTACCACATCTGTGCATTTAGGGTGGAATTCTCCCCAGCCAAGCCCTGCTCCCACCACCACCAGCAGCAGCCTGCCCCGTTGTCCTCGGAGCCAGGGCTCAGTGGACTGCTTGTTTTCCTAGCCTTGGCAGACTCTCAAGCAGGCGCTGATGACATCAGAATGAATCCAGTCACCAGGTTGCTGGTCCCTGGCCCCAAATGTGCCATGCTTCCGGCCAGTGGCCATGCAGGGCCAATACCTCCTGGCTACTTCATCCACCCTAACACTGGGCGTGTACTGCCTGAGGCTGGACACCTGGGATACGATCTGCTGAGCGCTACCTTGGTGCCTACTACTGACTCTAATCCTGGTGAGACATCTGCCTCCACCTCGCTTTGGGCCTCAGAGATGGGGCAGAGCTCCCTGGGCCCTCAGGAATGCACTCCTGGGGAAGAGGCTTTAGAACTCTGGAAGCCGGACCTTGTCCTCAGATAATGGGGCTTGGTGACCAACAGAGCAGTAAATATGTTCTCCCCCTCCTCACTTTACTGCTCCTTATGGCTAAAAAGGGTCCTGTGATTGCAGAGATGGCCAGTGGGAGAAAGCAGGTGCCACAGCCCCTCTCTGCCCTAATCTGCAGGCAAGGAAGGGCACTGCTGTTTCGAGGGGCACTAACACCTCCCCATCTCTTTCTGCAGGTAGCATCCGAACATCAGAAGCTACCATCCTCCCCTACGTGCCCTACCCAACTTGTTCCGACACAGGTTCTCTTCCAGCCACGGATCTGCCCATCCTGCAGCCACAAAGAACATCCCAACTGGGGGCCCTCATGACCGATCCTGTAACGGGCATTGAGGTGCCTGTGCTAGCTGTGACCCTGCACCCCCAAACCAGGCAGTGGCTCACTCTTGGAGGAACGTACTGCAACCCTCTCACCAAAACATTGGCCCCTCTTGAGTTGGGAGGCCCGATGGAGGACCCAGGCACAGGAGGCATCTCGCTGATCCTTGGAGTTGGGTTCGATGGTGACACAGGTCTCCTGGCAGCCCTTGGTGCCACCCTGCACTCTCCTCCCTACCTGGCCTGGCTTCTGATTCCCTTCTTTGAGTCCCCACACTATGTTCCAAACTGTAAACGCTGCCCCATCCCATCTTCCCACTCGGAATCTTCCCTCTGCATGTGACTTCAAACCTTGCCTCCCCTTCTCAGCCTCTTTCCCTTCCTCACTTCTACGTGGTGACACTGGGCAAGAAAAAGAGAAGCAAGGAGCAAGATGACCTACAGTAGAAGTAACCCAGGAGGGCCACTCGCCTCCTGCCAGCACAGCATGCCACCTACCACCCCATCTGTCCCCTACGCCTACAGTCTTGCAGCTCACTTCTCCCTCATGCCTTTCTTTGTTCTCCACTGTCCCTCACCTATCTGTGTACCAACAGTCCTTTTCTCACTTTTCCCCCTTGAACTCTTGCTTTCAGGTCAGGTGCGTGCACTGGGAGGACTGCGAGATGCTGCAGGGAACCTTGTGCTGCCTGGTGACACCTTTGTGGAGCCACTGAGCAGGAAGACAGTCCGGCTCCAAGGGGCTTCCCAACAGAAGGACAGGACATTGCCCTGTGCAGGAGGGCCACAGGCCCTGCTGGATGCCAATGTGCTGGAGGCCCAAAGGAGAGTGGTTACAGTGCTCCAGCAGTGGCAGGAGCATCCAGGGTGGAGGGCACAGGGGCCCCTGGATGCTGCTATCAAGGACGTGAGACAGGCACTGGCCTTGAGTCTACACCATATCCTGCAGCAGGCTCGGAGGCTGGCCAGGCAGCTGGAGGCAGCTCGTGGCATCGAAGCCAGTGGTGGCAGGGTGGGTACGTACTGATCTGCACAGGAACTCTCAAGGTCTGAAACCCCAGACCCACAACGAGCTGGCACATGCATGCACCTCAGTACATATGGTCAAGGATAGGACTACAGCTCATGTCTAGGTGTGACCAATGGACTAGAGGAGGGACATGATTCTCTGCCCCATCCCCTGGAGTGCTTGGCTGTATCTGTCTTCCAATCTCTTGCCAACTTCATTACATCTTACACTTTGTATAAAGTACACATCCTCTTAGCATTTCCTAGGGTCATCAAACACCATAGTGGGCTTTATGACAACTGTTTTATAATGGAGACCTGAAGTTCAGAGAGCTAAGTGACTTGCCTAGCCTCGGTCCTCCAGCTGGTTAGCTGCAGGGCTGGGCCTAAAGCCATCTAGAATCTCTCAGATCTTCAACTTCCTGTAACAGTCTTCCACTCCACACTCACAAACTCAGGAAGAATCTAGCCAAGTCCTCCAACTCCCCCCACAAAGCTTATACAAGGAAAATCAGGAATAGGAAATGGGAGTGGCATCTTCCATTATCTTCATTATCTTCCATTATCATGAAGCTTATCTCTCCCTTTCTAGAAGCTTCCTTATGTCCATGGTGTGTGTGACCAAAAAAAGAACTAGGGTTTCTCAAGTCAGAATTGCCTTGAGTTTGAAGGCACTGGCCTTGGTTAAGTAGACAACCTCTCTGTCACTGCCACATCTTTAAAATGAGGATAAAACATGCAACTTGATGGATAAAGGTGAAGGACCACATGAGATGCCACTCACATGGAGTCTTTCTCTCAAATTCTGATGCATAGAAGGTGCCCAAGAGCATGAACCCCATTCTCAGCCTTTTTCAGGGTGACCCAGAAACTGTTCTCAGTTTCCCAGAAGGTCTGATGCCACTCAGTTCTCACTTGCTCTTCTCACTGGGGAGTCATCTTTTCTTCCCTTTAATGCTAGCTTGTGCCCAAAGGAAACAAACACAGTCTACACAGGATAGCCTGTCAGGAAAGAGATATTCTGAACCTGGAAGGACTTCAAGTGGCTTGGCTTATCCTTCAACTCCCCTTCCCCTTCTCTGTCAGGGATGGTGTGCTATCCTGGGACAGAGGTGTGGATCCCAGCCCTGTATGGGATGGAGATCCCAGACCCCGAGGGCTCAGGACTCATGGTGCCCATCCTGGGCATGCAGAAAGATGGGACTTCTGGTTATGCCATGCCCCTGGCAGGCTCAATGGAAGATGCTGATGGTAAAGGTAGGAGGAAATGCAGAGCCTCTGGAAGTTCAAGGGGGTTAGCGATATGAGTTTGTTCTGAGAAAGCAAGCCCTGTACAGCCCAGAGAGGGGCACTGCTGGTCCTTTCAGTCATCAATCAAGGGACAGCATCATTCTGAGCTTTCTTCTAGAGCTGCTAGAGCCAAAATAAAGATGCCCAGAGATCCCCAGATGCCAAGGCAAAATATCATTCATCCTCCCTGAGAAAACTGGGTCCTTTCAAAAACCAGCACATCAGAAACCCATTCTTCACCCCAGCCCCAGGGTCTGTGGCATCAGGAAGCCCTCCACTCTGTCTCAGAACCCCCGCAAAGGGTGAAAGAAGGTCTAGGGTCTCCTCTGGCTCTTTCCTGCCATATTTACTCCCTGTCATAACTGCCCCTTCCTTTCTTACCCTAACTCTAGTTACTAAAGCTTGGTGTCCCACAGGTCTTGTCCCAATATCAATTGGGTCTCGAGCCATAGACCCCTGGACTGGGGCACATGGTCCCGTCATTGGTGCTCAAATGGACCCCTTTGGAAATGTGGTGGTGCCTGTGGTACAGGTGCTGGAGGCCTTGCCTCGAGGAACACGAGACCCTGGTCTGGTATGTAGGATGAATTCATTCTCTTTATTCATTCAGCAGCCACATATTAAGAACCTTCTAAGATTCAAATAATGGGTTAGGAGTGGAGATACCAAGACAGCTAGACCAGGCCCCTACCCCAAGGGATTCAGCTATCCACAGGTTCCAACCAGACATAGATTAGAAGGCATTAAGGAAAGAGGATGGGCTCCCCAGTTACATTAGGGAGAGCTCCGGAAAGGCTTCCCAAAGAGGTCGTACTTAGACTAAAACTTGAAGACAGAGGCCAAGAAAGTCACGCCAGCCTTGGGACACCCGAAGAATTCTAAGTAGACACATAACCGACTATTACTGTTGTGAGACTTAAATTTGGGAAATAGGGGGGAAATTATTTATAAGCCCACTACATTTCTAAAGTATACAAATAAACAAAAGCCCTCGCTCCTTACTATTGCCCCTCTATCCACTACCAATGTCACCATTATCTCCCCCCATAAGATACTCCTGGCCTCTCTGCCAGGCTTCCCCACCAGACTTGGCCACTGTTAACAGGCTGGCACGTCTCCTGCCAGACGTTCTTGTGTTTGTGTATAATCAGCATTCTAGAAATTCCTTCTGGCAGAAGATGGATGGGAGCAGGCCAGACCAGAGCAGGAAGCCCCAGCAGGACATTGCTGCAATAATTCCGCCCTTGGCAGAGCTCCAGCAAAATAAAAATGATTCAGGGCCCTACCATACATTAGGTCTAATTATAGTTTCAGAAAGCAAAGTAACTATGTAGTAAGGGATTCTTGTTAGAAGCAAAGAAATTTAAATTCAAGCCCTGATGCTGCCATCTCAAAAATCAATAGGAAAGAATCAAAGGAGAGGTTCAGAACGATTCTCCACCATCATCTGCTTCTCTACCCTGGTCTTCCAAGACTAAGTCCAGATATTAGAAGAAATCTCAAAAGGCCAGGTATTAGAAGACAGGAAGGATGAGGGAACTTGAAAGAGGTGTGAGATTATTATGCACTTGTCCGCAAGCAAGTCGCTTGCTTCTCCCAGCCTGATCATGGGCCCCTAGAGGTATTTGAGAAGCTTCAAGAACCTACAGCCAGGTCATGTGGGGCTGACCATGTGTGTAGGCTTAAAAATGCCTAAACAAGCTGGACATTATAGTGGGACCTCCTGGAGCATGAGCTGAAAGCCCGACAGCAGTACTGGTACCACCGAGAGCAGGAGGAGGAACGCCTGGTGGAGCACCTGGGGCACCTGAGCCGAGATCTCCACACTCTAGGCAACAGCGCCAGGCTTCAGGTGAGGCCACAGATCACTAGGGCCACCTTCTGGTCCCCACCTATCTTCCAAGGCTGCCACAGATTTGAACTTTTGGAGTCTTTGTCTTTCTCCCAGCCAAAGGAATAAAATCCCGGGCAGGGCAGACAGTCTCAAGACACCTCAGGCCCATGCCCTAGTTACTAGACAATCCCATGAGCCTTAGCAGGATGGAGGGGTAGTAGGGGAAAACACCATGAGGCAGTGCAGCCCAGAGTTCCTGCCTTCCTTCCACAGCTCATACCTTTACACATTCTGCCCTATGTAGCTAAAGGCTGCCAAGGAGGCCTGTGCAGCCCTAGAGGCCTGCTACCTGCAAGAGACACAGCGGAGATCCAGAACTCTGAGCATGCTCAGCAGCACAGAGAGGGGCCCGCTCTCTCAAGGTGGGAAAGCACCTCCTAGATCCAGATCCCCACAGCAGCAGTCTACTAGGAATGAAGCCTCCACCCATGGCTGCCCACACGTGGGGGGTGGGGGCGGGATTCCCTCTCACTCTTAGGTGCACTCATCTCTCCCAAGCTCCTGACCAGGTCCAAGCTCATACCTGGCAGGTCCAGTGGCTCCAATTCACTTGTCTTTTCTTCTCCCCACCCCTGATGATAGCCATTACCTTGTGCCCTTTTTCTCTGCACTTTGCAGCAGACAAAAAAGAGTGGGAAGAGGAGGCACAAGTGGTTCTTGGCATGAAGAAGGTCCTGCAGAGTTTAGAGCAAGCAGCGGAAAAGCTCAGGCAAGCATCTCTCCGGTTACAGGGCCAGGAGGAAGAGATGTGGCTGCAGCAGGGTAGGAATCAGGACCTGCAAGTCTGGAACCACCCCTGGAAGGTAAGCTCAAAGCTGACAAAGGAACCCAATGAGATGAACACACTCTCCCCTATCGTTATGTTGTTCTTTACAGCCATGTAATACTCAGGGTGGGTAGGTCCAAAGAAGAGTAAAGGAGCTAATGGGGCAGGAAGAGGAAAGATAAAGACATTCCCTTTTAACTTGGGTATTATGTTTCCTGTGTTCCAGGTATTCCAGCATCTTTCTGATGAGTTCCAGAAGATGGTGAGAGAGAGACAGACCAGCCTGGACAGGGCCCAAGGGCAGTTGCAGTACCAACGAGAGCTGAGCCGCCTCCAGCTCTTGCACACACAGGTACTGACCTCTGGACCCAGTTAATAAGATCTATATTCTCATTTTTGTTGGGGACTTCAAGAGAAAGTCCGAAAGCAGCATTATGGGTTAGAGAAACTAAGCATGGATTCAGCTCTGATTATTTCATCCTAGATTACTGTGTCGGGAATCCCTACATGTTTGGAGAATTATCCTGGAGACAGATTCTATGGAACAGTCACTTCTATCAGGGACCAGGCTGCTGCCTGCCCCATGTTAATCCCTTTCCTCAAAAGCCTCACTGCAGTGCTTGAGGGACATCAAGAGCACAGCCCAGGGCTGGAGCATCAAACGTCACAGGCAGGTGAGGCTGGTCACTCACGTAACACACAACTCTGCTGCCAATCCTTGTCTGCAGTTTCATAAATCCTAATACAATTAGAGCATTGGGAACCACAGCAGCAAACTACAGTAGGTTTTTAGCAAGGACATAGAGAAACCCAATGTATTACAATTGACTGCTGTATAACAAATTACCCCAATTTTTCACGGAATAAAATAACTCACAGCTTCTGTTGCTTATGAAGCTGCACATTACTTGGGTATCTCTGGACCAAAGTTGAAATCAAGGTACTGGCCAGGGTTGCAGTCATCTCAAGATTTCTCTGAGGCAGGATTCATTTCAGGTTCATGCTTCTGGCAGTTGGTGGTCCCCAAGTTCTAGCTGGCTATGGCCAAAGACATCAACACCTTCCCACAAGGACTTCACAGGACACATGACACAGTAGCTGGCTTCCCTCAGGGCAAGCGAGTGAGACAGGGCAAGGTGGAAGTCACAGCCTTTTCATGTCATAATCTCAGAAGTAATACCTCATCACTTTTGCCATAGTCTCTTCACTTGAAATAAATCCAAACCTTGAGCTCTCACCCAGGCTGGGGAGATTATACAACAGTATTAGACACAGATCATGGAGGACCATCAAGGTCATCTTAGAAGCTCCTGTCACACCTGGTACCACGTCTGCTGCTTTTTAGCTTTGGCCACATCTCTGTGCTTTAACTGCATTATTATATTGCTCTCTGTTGGATGTAGATAAAGCCAACACCATTTGGAACTCACCATTCTCCATCCTTAAGAAAACTAATGTCTGGTCCCAAGTCCAAAAGGAAAGAGCTGAACTGCAAGGGCAAGGGTATCATGAACCAGGTAACACCCTTCCCTGACAGCCTCTTAGAACTGTCATGGAGCACTGACGATGTGTGCTAGGAGAACTCCTGAGAACTAGGAATACCAGAATCCGACCTTACCGATAACTGAGTTCTCCATATTGCCATCCTAAGATTCCCAATAGATGTTTCCATATAAAGACGACCAAATAGGAATCAAAGCATCAGTATAATTATAACTTGGCCAGTTTCCAAGTGGGAATTCCTAAAGTTCCTCTATCTTTCCAACAATGGATCTAACTTGGGATCTTATCCCATACCAATGAGCTACTTGTCAAAAAAAGTTAATGGAAAAGTGCAAGACAAGAGAAAAAAAAAAAAGGGAGACAAAGCAAGAAAAGGTCTTGCCCACAAAAGAGACTCCCAGTCACTTTATCATAACTACTCCTTAGAACTGGAAGTCAAACCAGAAAGTAACTGGCCGGCTCTGAGGAGTGAAGTCCGTTTCAACTCACCTGTCTCCCAGATAGAAGAGAAGTACCAGAAGCTAAGTGTGTGCCTTTCCAAAGGCCATGATGCTAGCCACTAGGATGCACAGGTCCACGAATATTTGTGAACTTGAGCAGAGATCAGTGAACTGTGGCCCACAGGCTAACTCCAGCCTGCTACGTGTTCTTATATGGCACGTGAGCTATGAATGATTTTGCTTTTCAAATGATTGGGAAAGGTGTCAAAAAAAATTTTGTGACATGCTTCACAATATGTCATGCACTATTCTAAATCTTTAGATATATTAATGCATTTCATCTTTATGATCACCTGGTGAAGCTGATGCTATTATTATTTAATTAATTAATTTGGTACAGGGTGTCACTGTGCAGCTCAGACTTGCAGAGATCCTCCTGTCTCAGCCTCCCCAGTGCTGGGATTACAGGCATGTGCCACCATGCCATTTCCATGGCCAGCATGGCATTCCTGGGGTTCCGGGGCCAGCATGGCATGTGGTACTGGGGATCAAACCCTGGTCCTTGCACTTGCCAAGCAGGTGCTTAGACCACTAAGCTATCTCCCTAGGTCAATAGGGAGATATTCATTTTATAGATGAGGAAACTGAAGCTTCTGAATAAGCCAAATAAGTAGCCAAAGATCACAGTGCTAATATATAGTCCAGTTGGAATTCAATCTTGGGGAGACTTTCCCCAACATCTGTGCTCTTAACCTACTTCCTCATGCAAAAGCTATCAAATACTGTAATTGCAGTGCCAAAAGACAGATACAGGTAGCACACTCTGCTGAGTTTCCAAGAGGTCAAATCACCTACCAGAGAAGCAAGGAAAAGCTCTGTAGGGAAATGAACCCCCACTTCTGCCATGATAACTGGGGACACTCACTTTGAACCCACTGTGGTTCTTGGCTGGCAAAGCCACCTGTCTCTTTACAGAAGAAGACTACTGATTCTGGAACCTGACCAATTGTATCATTAATTCCTCTTCCCTTTGATGGGAACTAACAAGAGAATGGGCAGAACTGAGCTCACCTTTAAGGGTTACCGTGTCTATTTTGGCCTTCTTACAATTCTATTGGCTTCGTAATTCTGAAAACAATTTCATGTACATTATCTTGTTTATACTTAGTACAACTAGCTCTATTTTTTTGGATAGTGAAATTATACAATCTGAATTAATGCTCACAGAAGTGAAGTGACTTTCTCAAGGTCTTGTGGATGTTAGTTCAGTATTCTTTCCTATATTCTGTATCCTGAATCAAAATAAAGACAATTAAAATGTCTAAATATCTATCCAGAATTAATCTACAAATCAATTAAAGACATGTTTCTAAGGAAATAAGATTTTTTAACAACCAAATCTTACTTAGTGATGACTATGTACCAGATACTGTTCTGAGTGCATACTTGTAAAGACAAAAAGCCCTCTGAAATAGTAGAAGAAAATCTTCTAAGCTGCTGCCACCTTCTCTGGGCCTTCCTTTTGGCTTTTCTGTTCCTATTTAGTAGATTCAATCGCTGTCCATGAAGATTGCCACAAAAGTCTGAGGCCCAGTACATGAATAGCATGGAAGGATGTATGGATAGGTGATAGATGGGTAGATGGATAGATGGCTAATTGGAAATAAGCATTCTCCTTAGCTGAGCTATGCATTAGCAATAATAGTAATAGTAATAATAGTAATTGTTGTTGACATATCATTACCATACAGAATATCAGTGAAATTATTACTTGTTTCTCTTGATTTCTGCAGACCCAAAAAGCTTTTTGCAGGATCTTCTACAACCTCAGACAACACAGAAGAAAGAGTTAATAACTGCGCAAGCCACAGACCTTTCTGCCAGGGAGTTTGTGGTTTATCAATACGGCCTCTCTGTCTTGAATTTCCTCATACCCCAAATCCATGTAAGTCTGGCTTCAGGTCTCCACGGACCGATCAGGGGGACACCTATGGAAGTTAGAGTGGTGAGGAGAAAGCCCTGAGGGAATGGGTCTTCCCAAGAATAAAGCTCTGGGGCAGAGAACTTTCTAGTCACTAAAATGAATTATGGGGCTGGTGAGATGGCTCAGTGGTCTAAAGCACCTACTTAGAACAAGCTTAGCAAAGCACAGGGACCGTGGTTCAATCCCCCAGCACCACATGCCAGCCAGCCCCGCCCCCTGGTGGGCTGAGCTGGCCACACACACACTAAATAAATAAATAAATAAATAAATAGATTTTTTTTAAAAAATAATAAAATAAAATGAAGTATATACTATCTGGAGGCCAGAAAATGTAATTGACTTAGAAAGGTAAAAATTAATAATCATGGCTAGCATATTAAATATACAGTGAAATCTTTCCATTTTTCCATCGTACATATTGAATCTATTTAGGCTGTTATGATTTGAATTAACGCTTCAGTGCATTTAATTCCCTTTAATTTGGTCAATGCTGTGCAGCTGAGGCACACAGGAGTTATGTAAGAAGCGGATGGCTTTGGGTGCGCTTTTGTCTGTCTGTCACTCTTTTCAGGCTCCAGCAATCACTCTGCACACTGCTTCTCATCTTCCTGCCACAGAAGCCTCAGGCTGTGCCTTCCAAGATTCCTTCTTCTACCAGGTGCTGTAAAATATTCCCAGAAGTGGGGTTTGGAATGCTAGAGTCTAATAAAGAGAAGCAGAAGCAAAGGAACATTTTTCTCTCTCAATTCCTGATGTACTTTATCCTTCCTTGGAAATAAGTCAATTAACTAAAGCATAATAAATGACACTAAGTAAGAGCTTTCTCTAATCAGTAAAGTATGTCCTGGCTTATGCTGAGAGTGGCATAATGGCCCTGTGCCCACTCATGGATCTTTGCCATCAAACTCCATGGTTCCAAACTCATATTTCCCATAAGAGTCATGGTTCTAGCTTCAGGAAATCTTACACAATCAGCATCTTCTTATTTTAAGAAAAGATCTAAACTGCTCCTGTTCATAGTTCCTCTATGTCATTTGGAAGGATCTCTGGTAATTCTAAGCTGGTGTATATGGAATATAAACACTGATGACAGCCTACTGACATGATTCTGAGGGGGAAATACCAATCAATGTCAGAGAACCAGAAAATGCCTTCTATTCACTAGACTAGTAGATTGTTAGGGACTTTAAT